AGCGCGGAGCCAGCGGCGGGGCGCTGCCGGCCGTGCCGGGGGAGCCAGCATGTCCTCCATCCTGCCTTTCACTCCTCCCATCGTCAAGCGGCTCCTGGGCTGGAAGAAAGGGGAGCAGAACGGGCAGGAGGAGAAATGGTGCGAGAAGGCGGTGAAGAGCCTGGTGAAGAAGCTGAAGAAGACGGGGCAGCTGGACGAGCTGGAGAAGGCGATCACCACGCAGAACATCAACACCAAGTGCATCACCATCCCCAGGTAGAGGGGGTGCATGGCGGCGGTGGTGGGGAGCACACAAAACAAGGGGCACCCCGCTCGGTTACCCCGGCGGGGTGGGCGCAGCCGCGGGTCCCCCCCTCCGGGGCGGGCACGGGGGTGCTCGGAGGCCCCTTCGGTAGCAGCTTTCTCCCGAGGGACTCGGCATGCTGTGGCACAGCCTGGTAGAGGGCTTGTTTTGCTTTCCAGCCCCGCTGCACTTCGGTGCGGTGTTAGTCCTCTCCTGCGTGCTCTATCCTGGCTCTATAGAGAGTTAAAAAAAAATAATAAATAGCTGGCTACAGAATTGGTTTACTGTCTAGTAACAAGAGGGGAATGTAGGGGAGGAAATATGTCTCCAGCCGAGATTAAAAAAAAAAAAAAAGTTGGAAGTGCTCTGGATTACAGTTATAGTTATTGTGGGTACTCTCATTGTCAAAAGTTTCAGCGTGTTCTCTGGTACTGTTACATTAAGATTTTCTTTTGATTAATGTATCAGGAAAATGGTTTTGTTTGGGTTGCTTGGTTTCTTCCATATTAGCTAGAGAGATATTACTCTGAAGAGGTGATTTAGAGCCCTGCTGTGCATATGTTTTCAAATTACTTTTTAAATCGGGAATGCAAATGGCATAGCTGAAGGGGATTGTTTGGAGTGCAAAAAAAGCATGTGAGGGTGAATATAACTAATTTATTTTTTCTTCCATTTTTTGAATTAACATGGATTGTATTTTTAGCCTCCATTCCAAGATTGATCCATAAGACCATTATAAATCATAAAGAATGTGTATATAAGTATCCCATCTAAGAAAAAATTTCCAAGTTACTTGCAAATAGCTGGTCACAAGTGGTGTTTTATTGCTGAAGATTTGTTGATTTCTGTGAGCTCAGCCAGATGACTGCTAGTTCTGTTACTGATTGTTGTTTGAGGGTACTTTTTTTTTTTAAACAAAGGCCAAAGTTCATCCCAAATATTTGAATGCTGCATAATTGTATGCTTCTGCGTGAGAAGATATCTCTGTGTGTGTGTATTCATGCTTCTCTTGCGCGCAAACAAATGTATGCTTTCTTGGTTGTCAGAATGATTTAATATGCAGTAGCTAATACAAAGCAGCATCTGTTGCATGAAAAAGTGAAGCAAGCAGCTTAGAAATGTGGATATTTGGAACTCCTAAAATTTTCTCCCAACAACTGTAGTGTTTTTTTTAAAGGAAAAGTAGTCTCCTTATCTTTTTGGTTGTGAATGACTGGCTAAGATTTTGGCCAGTAATGCAAATAGACCTCTCAGCCTGTTAGAGTTACTCTGGTTCACCTAGTTGAAGCAGAAATCAAAACCTGTAGAGCTACCATCCAATACAAATGCCTTAAAACCTGTATTTTTAAATTCTTGGTAAGCAGTGTGCTTTCCACATAGATAATACCTTATTTAAACCACTTCCCTGAAACACCATTTCAAAAGAAGAAAATGACTTGAGCAGCCCTGCTGATGTGACCTGGGTATTGTGTCTAGCTGATGCTGACCTGTTGGGGAGCAGAGCGTGAAGCCTCCTGGTACTTCTTTTACTAGTAACAAGGTGATTTAGATAAGGGAGGAAGGTTTTGATATTTTATGATTCAAAGGTAGCAAAGAGATGAGTTGGAGTACGATGCTTTAATTTAGGAAAGTAATTTTAAAGCTTGAAAATCAGTAACAACACGAGCAGATATCACAAGTTATAAATACTATCACCTCCAGAGATTGTCCTGGCTGTTCCTACTGTGCAGAAGTGAGTGTCTGTTTCTCCTAGACCTTCCTCTGTTGAAGGAGATCTGTACAGAAATTAAAACATTTCATGTTCACTTATGACACAGAGCCTGGATCCTGCCTATCTTAAACCTTGGTATGGGGGAAGTGTCCGCATATTTCAATGGTAGCTCCTTATGCCTTGGCACTAGTTTTTAAACATGACACTTCATATGTACTTGTATTATTGTTTAGTATGTATATTACAGAGATCCAAATGAGCATGGTTAGGTTAGTCTGTGCTGGACCCTCTGCACCAGCGTACTGAGAGGTCAGTATCTGTATATCAGAGATTGGGGGATGGTGTGGAGATCTGAAACAGCTTGTCTAGAAGTCAGTGTCAGAGCTGGAATTATAACCAGGCCTTGTGACTTTAAGAGCTGTGTCTTTTCTGGACTGGGCTGTTTGTCCTAATGTATCTGTGAATCTGATTATCGTGTCATTTGAAATTAGCGTTTGCAAGACAATTTTAGTATGGTTTTAGTTTGTTGTGTGGTTTGTTGTTTTTTTGTTTTGTTTTTTTAAATAATTCCACATATGTCATTTTATTATTGAGTCAAATAAGTATGTTGGGGGTTGAAAAGGGGTGAAAAACCATCATTAAAGATTAGATCATGTTGTGCATTGTCTGTAATGCATCAGTAGACTGAATTACAGTGGAGCTATGCCAGTGATGACTCTGGCCCAGCAGGAGTAGGGTAAGTCCAAAATTAGCTATTGTATCCATGAGACGAAGCAAGTTTCAGATGTAAAAGTGCTTGAGCTTTGCAGAAACATTGCTCATGGGAATAAGGGCTACGCGGCAAATTCCTGTAGTGATCAGGTGGGATTGTTTTAAGAAAGAATAAGAAAAAAATAATTTTTGTTGTAGGGCTAAGGAATTAGAATACCAAATTTATTCTTGCTGTCATTTTTATCTACTTGAAATTGGAAATACACATACTACATTCTGTCTCCTGATGGATTATTAAACAATGAATAGTTTATTTGCTTGTGTATTTGTTCAGCATGTATTACTTTGCAAGTGCTCCATTTGTAAGATGATGTGACAGACACCTCAGGCCCCACATTTTCTTTTGGAAGGACCTGTGGCAGACAGCAAAGGCTGGAGAGACCTTCAAGGATTTCAGTGTAATGCTCTGCTGGCAGGATTTTTCCTTCTTGTTTTTTTCTGCTGGAGCAGGAATTAGTTTCCAGCTGAAAAACCTACCAGTCTCAGACCATCCAATTGTTTCTTGTGCCAGCAGTTACTGATGCTCGATGGAATGGCTCATTTAGAGGACCTTTGTCCCTCCCTTGTCTGGTGCTCTGCTGCCAAAGCCAATCCTTCTCCAGAAGGGAACTGCCTTTAAACCTCTATGCACTAAGCTGGTAGGCTTTGGTGTCAGGAGCTGCCTAGTGAGTTGTCTGGGTCTGCATGCAGTAAGACAGTTTTTCATACTGTATCGGGTGATAAAGTTGAAAACACACATTCTTTTGTTTGTTAAAATATATCCTTTGTAGTAGTTGCATTGATCTTGAAAGCTTTCAAGAGGGGGATTTTTATCACTTTTAAGACAAGCTTGAGGATAGTGTGCCATTAGCGCATACCTGAGCACAGCCAGGTGTTTGAGTTTGCAGCCTCTCTGCTTTGCCCAGTGAGCAAGCTTAGGTCTACTCCAGCTGCTGTCAGATTTTTTGAATTTTTGATGGCTCTATTTGCTTCTGAGACCAAAGAATACAGTAAGCATGGAATCTGGAATCTGATGGCAGCAAAGTCTACAGCTGACATTACTACATACCTGCAGAACCCCATAGACTTCATGCTTGGGAGAAGAGCAATGAGTTTCTAATACTATTCCTGACCTGAAGAGAGACTGTACTGTGCACCTGACAAACCGTCAGCATTTTGCCTCTGGAAATAAAGGGTGTTAGGCTGAACTGTGATGAGTGTTTAACTCTTAACCTATATAGAGGTCTGAACTGCAAAAGCCAGGAACATGTGATGAGCACTTAGTAATTTCTAAAAGCTGTGCAGTATATATATAGTCTTGCTGATATGGGACGAGATAGTAAATGCTTTGTTTCAAGAGCTTTAGTGGTATTACACATATTAAGACATAAATCTCATGACATTTTGTAATGTATTTTCATATGCATATTCATATTCTTTTGAACCTATTACTGTATTTGTTTGGGGTTTTTGTATCACCAGTGGTTTTAGGGGAGTCGGGATTCTTGTATGTAAGGAACACCTTCTTTTAAGTGGTGTTTTTTTTAATTTAGAAAATAGTTTTGAAGAGGGGTGGGTGTTATTTCTTGTGGAACTCATCTGATAAGGATAGAATGTACCAACTGAAATGGAAACATGGCACATTTGCTTTTTAAAAGCAGCTGAACAAGGTATTCCTTGAATGATTTGCATTTCAGTGGGGAAAACCCAGGATAATACATAAGTGATTTTAGGAACATCTTGGGTGTGAGCATGCCTTCTCTTGTGTTGGTAGTTGACCACACCATATTTACAAGAATTGACCATGTTCTTAGGATTGCCTTGATACCGGGAAAATATGAAAACTGTAAATACAGTAAGTGGCAGAGGCTGTCTGCAAGACCGTGAAGTATGTTCTTTTGAGATTGGTGCCCATCTGGTTTCAGTAATAAGCAAAGGGCCAGTCATAGTTTTGTGTGTCCACACACAAATTTGTATATTCTTTTTAAATGCCAATTTTAAACTGCCTTGTTTTCAATTTGGCCTGTCCCTGTATGTGAGGAGCTTTAATATTGCATAGACTTGTTTAAGGGCGTCTGCACTTTCGATTGACGTAACGGTGGTGCACGGGACATGATTACAGTACAGTCCCTGTGTGCAAACACAGTCTAGCTGCCATTATACTTGTTAGCTCCCTGTTGCCAGTAATTTTACTGCTACAAAACTCTGTCCACTAACCTATGTACTGACCTAGCTTTATGGGCAGGTTTTTTACAGCCCTATCCTAACCTTTGTGCTGCCACAACTGTGCTGCTAGCAGTACCCACATGAGCTAGTTTAGCTGTGGCAGTGATAGCTGCAGGGTAGACAGCACTTGACGAATCTGTTTGTAACTAGCTTTTGTGGCATTAGTGTGACTTCACAGATCAGGTCTAAAGGTGAAAATATGGTAAGTGTAAGTGTACACAGGCCTTTAGTCAGGTGTACTTTCTGCATGCAGTCCCATTTGTCCATCAGTATCTTTCTCATCAT